GAGTTCTGGGGATGGATAGTGCTGTCAGTTGCACAACACTGGGAATGCACTTGATGCCACTGAATTGTATACTTAGAAATCATTTAAATGGTCAGCTTTGTTGTATATATTTTAATCCAATAAATAATTGCCAAAAAAATAAAAACCTAAAAAAAAAAAACCTAACTAAACACACTTGTGCTACAGAGGTGAAGACTCTCGTGTACCCCAGCTCGTGGGTCAGACAGCCTGGCTCAGCTGGGTAATCTCAGAACAGAGTTCAGCTCTTCTACCGCCGCTTGGCTTTCCCAGGTGGTGGGCAGGGGCGATCAGCTTCGGTTACCCCATTCCTCATCTTCCTGTAGGCATTGCTAGCTTATCATTAATTTCACTGGCGTCAGTGAGACAGCTATTAACTAACTGTGTCCCTCAGACCATCCAAGCCCATCGAGGGCAGGGTCTTTCCAGGTCTCAAGGGGAATTGTTGGTCCTCTTTAGATGCATTCTGGTTACACTCTGAGCTTTTCCTCTCATGACGCTTCCATGTTACATGGTAATTATTTGTGTGGTATCTTTTCTATCAGGAGAGAGGTTGTATCAGCCCGTTCACTGGTGGATGCCAGTCACACACGCATAGCGGAGACTCCAAACAAAACGTTATCAAATGAATGCTGAACTTTTTGTGCCAAAAAATCCAAGAAGTTTTGTTCAACATTGACTCCCAGCTACTAGCACGATGTCTGGAAGGAGAGGAGGATTTATCGGGGGGTTCTTTGATTGTCATCAACAGACGCCAGCTCCGATGATTTGAAGAATAAAACATGAGATGTGTTGAAAGACATTGGGTAGCTCACAGATTATAGGGAAGAGCTGGAACACTAAGACTTGGAAAGGGCAGTGGCCGCGGATTCACAACCAGACTCTTTAGCCCAAAGATGTTGGAAATAGTTTAGCTGCCGTTGCTTTTTGACTGGGTGTAATTTCTGAGTGTAAGTGTGACTGGCCTAAGGTCTTAGCAGAAGGAGGAGGGTGAACCCTGGACAGACCAGAACGACAGTGGTGATGGAGTGGGTAAGCTTGAGACTGTCCTCACTTCTCCTCCATCATCGCCCAGAAGCCTTAAAAACCATCTTATGCCATCACCCTTCCTGTTCCCAGATATTTAGGAGCTTTGAAAAAGTGCCTGCGTCAGACCAGGGAGGCCACAGAACGAAGCAAGCCTTTTCTGGCCCAAACATAGAATGGCATACGTGGAAAACCCACGCCCTGCTGGAATCCTGTTACAATATACGAAGAGCCAGAGCCTCAATTATGGGTGCATTGAGGACAGAATTTCAGACTTTGCTCTGGCTTTTGTCAGCTTAAGATGCTTAAGGTCGTTTACACAAAGATTTGTGTGTCTGAATTTTTCCCTGGCAGGTTCTCTTTATAACCTAGATAACACAAACCCCAAATATTTGTGGTTGGCAACAATGAGGAATGTTCAAGTTGTCTGACATCTTCTTACCGTGTAGATTACCACCTAGGATCAGTGTTCAGCCTTGAGACAAAAGGAGACAGAGGATGGTGGGAGATTTTTCCATGGTTTGGGCAATGTTTGAGTTTAAATTCTGACACCTTCATCTCTCTCTCTCTTTCTGTC